GCCGATACTGTAGAAACTTGCATTTTGTACCCTTGACCTGACCTTGACCTGACCTCTGACCTACTTAAGCAAAAAAATTTGCGCTCTTAAGATCCGCCTTGTTGAGAGCTTTCGATTGCCGTTTTCCCCGTCTTTCTACGACCATCGGTTCGGAAGTTAGACAGGGGGGGGCAGAATCTGCCCCCCCCCCCCCCCAGCAGGGCGCGTATGGCTGAATAGCCCAGCGGGGCGCGGGTTAAACCCCACATTTGTTCTCCGTGAAGTTCAGACAAGTTGTTTAGAAACCTTCAAAAAAGGTACAGTCACTTGATTTTTCTCAAGTTTGTCTGTCTTGGCAGATCAAGCAATGCCAGAGCAAGCTTACGAACACACAAATTTGATCAGGATCGGACGATTGGACACTTCTTAAAAGAGATCTTTCGTGCTTCCCGGAAATTCACCGGAGAACAGATGTGGGGTTTAAAAAAAGGTGTCGATATGTATGTGCAGGAAAACTATATATGCCATGCAGTTGGAGCAATTATACCAAGAGCGTGGGCGGATGTAAAGTCAGACCGCAGGATGTAATTAAGTGTGTTAAGCCTTGCGATCGTTTTGTTTATCCGATAGGAGCCCAGTTCTACACTGAAGATCGAATACAGCCATTAAACGCTCGATTCAGGCAATAAACTGGCGTTAACGACCGGTTCTCGCCACCCACGTGAACGAATGTTTGGGCAGAAAGGCTCCCAGTGGGACTTCAGCGAGGCTTTGGGTGTGGGTGAGAGATTTTTATGAGAGATGATGCGACACAAATACACCTATGATTTTTTATCAATATTTTAGGTAGCAGGCGGGAATCGTGTGGTAATCAACTCCACATCTTTCTATAGGTTGGATAGGTTAGTGGGAATTATGTTCACCGTTATATTCACAAGAAGATCTCATGTAATTTTTCTCGTGTACCAGACTCCTTTCATAAAATAAAACAATGGAACGAACTAAAATCATCACGGCTATGTATTTCACACGAATTCATCGAAACATAGTGGAAACTTCGATGCAACTTCTGATAAGATTTCGGTTGTTCACTGTTACATGTACCCCTACGTTCTGTTATGGATGTGTTCTATCCCGCAACCTTGCTAGTTGCTTGACTGCCACCACTAATTGTTGGTGATGTTTTGCCAACAGTTTCCGCGGAACCGAAATATTTACCAAACATATTTACAACATTTGGTGTCAGTTTATTACCTTTATAAACCAACGTAAACAGACGGCTCGTTAACAAGCTGCTTATTAAAAATGACGTCGTCAGTCAAAACAACGAGATGAGGCGACGCAAACGCACAAGAACATATAGGAACATCATCATGCGAATAGGTTGGATGTTTTCGCTTGCCTTCAGTTTCAACTTCTTGCTTCTTTTTACGGTTTTAAAGGGACTATCCCACCTTTAACATGGGGTTTGAGTTGAGATAGCCAAGTTTGCGGCGAGGTTCAGAAACCACTATCTATCTAGGTTGCAACCCCCGCGGCCTCTTGGTGTTGAAGAAATTCGTTCCCTTCATTTGAAAATGGGCCTTGTACAAGGCCCTATCTTCAACATGGAGCGACCGTTAGTGTGACGTCACCTCGTTTAGTCATTCTGATTTAAATGGGCTTGTTCGTTGAAAAATCGCTTAAAACTTGGTCTGAACTTTGTTGTGGTGCCTACAGAGTAAAAAGAATCAGCTTTATTACAGTAATGTGGCCTGGGGAAGGAGGTAATTTTGGGCTGTGACGTCACATATTTGAAAGTTTGTGTTTGGAATATGGGAAGCCTAAGATGTTTAATGAAAAATAAATGCCAGAACCGTGTTCCTGGTCATCCAATCTATAAAGTCGGACACAATTTAACTGGTTTTAACAACATTTTAGAAGGTGGGATAGTCCCTTTAAGTGTAAATACCACGCTTTCTTCACCGATCTATTAAGTGGCATTGTGACGATGTGTCAATCGGCAGTGCTGAGTGAGGACCGTCCCCGGGCTGTCACCAGGGAAGAGGACGCGTCGGTAACGACTTACGGCCTTGCTGAACGGCCAGTGACACCTCGCACCATCCATCTCGGCACGGCACGGCGCTGGGAGGCGGGCCACTGGGAGGTCCCACCGACCCACGGTGGGCCAGAGAGGGGCCAGTGAGCTCTACCCCACCGATCTATTCTGCACGGCAGGGCGGTGACGAAGTACGAACCACTGGATTCTGGTCAGCTTCCCTCTAAGCTAGGTCGGAGACGGGGGCGCTGAGCTCTGAGCTCTCTCCCACCGACCTCACGACGATGGGAAGCGTGGAGCATTGAGCTTGGAGCTCGACCCATGCAGCAGCACGGAGAGGCAAGCCACTGAGCTCTATCTCCGACCCATGGCAGACGGAGACGGCCACTGAGCTATGCTCACCGGCAGGACGGAGACCGCGCCTCTGTCCCACCCCCACCCCCACACGGCAAGACGGAGGCCGAGCCGCTGACTCACGGTAGGACGAAGACGGGCCACCGATCTTGGCCTGGCCGACCACAACTTCGATCAACGACAACGATAACATTTACCGCAAGGGACTGAGGTGGCCTTTCACACATTATTTGTTATTCTAGCGTGATTGTTGAAGCATAGAGGATGAAAGAACTGTTGCCATGCTGATTATTTTATGTTTCTTTTCAATTTATTAGCAGATCGATCAAACGAATGACCTACTGTTGAGGCTCGATTCTTGTTGCGGTAGTTCAACACCTTCAGCAGTTCATTACTGAGTAGAAAGATCATTGTCTTTGCAGAATGTTTGAAGGTGGTACTCCAGAAAGTGTTAAAACTTTCAGCAGGATTTGTTCCTGGACACCGAGTAGAAGTTTCATGTCATCCTGATTTAGTAAACGCGGTAGTCGTTACCGCAGACAGCTGAAGATGTTAGGAATGTTTTTACAGGCTTGCCATTATCATTACCATACAATGGCATTGAAATCGTGCCTGTCACACGCAAGTGAGTTCATTTCGTGGTCGATATTTGTTACTTTAAAAAAATCAATTTGTCGTGATTTGCTGGAGTCGCCATCCACACTTTGAACTGAGGCACCTAAACATCGAAACAGACAAACAAACCGCGGCAATTTTCCAAAGTAACCAATCATAACTGCGACCTTCAATGGAAATTTCGGCGAACCGAAGCAGCACGATAAGTCCACCAAGCGATGAGCACCAGGTCCGCTGCCCCGTCGTCCCCTGGGGCGCTGACTGGTGGAACGGGAGCCCCGCGGGGCGGCGCGCGGCGACCACTCCCAGCCGCTGCAGAGGTAAACGACAGCACTAGTGAGGGCATCCGACTGCGGCGGCGCAAACACCTCTCAGCGACCATAAACACAGCTGCCGCCCTGATATGACGTCGAAAAGGATGTTGTGAGGGCACTCCTACACGACATGGTGCCATTCCGTCTCCGTGTGCCAATCTCGATAAATGTAACTGTGTGACTTTCCCAGCATATGCAATATGCATGCATGTACTTACCTATGGCTATGTGTGTGTCTATCATTTATCATTTCTACGATGTAGCATGTGTAACATGTTCACAGCCTGCCGTGATGGTATTGTTATTGGCGATGCTTATGAAGACGTCAGAACACTGAATACAAATTGGGCTTAATGTAAAAGGAACTGCTAGCAGCTCACCGTCGCGTTGTAAGTACAACCACCTATCCTTTATTTCATTTCACGTAGTCGCATGTTGGCATAATGCGGAATAAATTATTGAGAGAGGTGCAAAATCGTAGAGGAGGTGCCGTGATGAGACGAGTCGAAAAATCCCAAAGACTGCTAATATAGATTTTTGGCTTGATGAACTGAAGGGAAGCTCTGGCATGTCATTTCTTTTCTTATCCGCCATTGCATCAGCATTTTTGACTGACGTGTTTGTGAATGTCATACGGCTAAGGGAAATGTCAAGGCCATCATTTGCGTTATTATATCACTTAACTTTAATTAGCCATGCAGTAGGTATGTACATAGACAGATTGTGAATAAGACCAAGAAATTGATGGGTACCTTCAGATTCACAATCATGCACCATTAAAGGCACATCAAACTTAATTCCGTCATTAGCAATTAAAGTCCGCACCTCTGTGTTAATGAATTTATAGTAACGTTCAAATAATTTTACTTCTGCAGTAAATCTGCTTTCATTCTGCCAGTCATGCACACTCATCCAGCTTTGCATTCAATTACAAATTATCTAATTATCAAGCATTGGGATCACTATTTATTTCGCCTTGTGTCCAATTTCGTACATCAGCTGATCTGCCTCAAATCCATCCGTCGACATGTCAGATTAATTAGATTCCTCCCGTCGCCAATTATAGTGATACGTCTCTATTTTTATCTGTTGGCATTGCCCGCCGTGGGCCATCTGTTATGCAGCCGATGTGTGTCAGTCGCTGTTTGCTGATGTTTTTGTTGATGTTGTTGCTCCGGCCGCTGCCTGGAATGGTGATAAGCGCGGCGCTGGAAACACTCTGGTGAGTCTCACGACGCATTAGCATACACGGTAGCGGGGAGCATCTGTGCACGGCCCGGTAAGCACGTCGTGGTCCTCTGACCTTTCTCCGCGCCGGCTGGGGCGGGTGCTCGGAGCACCAGGGCGGCGGGGGCCGCAGCAGACGGCCAGCGTGTTCTGTGCTCTGTTACAGCGGCGCTGATGGAGTCGTGTGCTCGCCTTGAGGCAGTCCCGCCCCGTCCGAGAAGCGATCGATGGTCCCAGAGCACCTGTGGCTGTGTCAGGGAGAAGCACTATCTGCTACCGCTACCACGTCCGGTCTGTGACAGATCACCGCCCCACACACAAACTACAGGGAACGGTGAGCGGAGGGGAGATACTACTCCACAGCTATTGGTCGTGCTATGAGGGTCAGCTGACTTCGCCGAGGGACTGCGGCCCGTCCCGACTGACGCAGCTGTTGCTGTGCTCGGGGGGCTGTCAGGTGACGCGGTACTCACCTGAGACCCGGCCTGTGCTCTGCCTGGCTGTCTGGAGTGCTGGCGAGTCCGGTGGCGGCGCCGGCGGCCACTCTGCGTCCGCTCCGAGCCCGACGGCCACTCGTCCGACCGTGCGTCCGACCGCGCGGCTCCGGGAGCGTCCCACCGCGTGCCGCCACTGCCACCAACACTGGCACACACCAGCGGCGGCGGCGCTGCTGCCGGCGGGCAGAGAGCGCGGGCCGCCGGCCAACTGGGATCGGCAAGGTGCCACCGGCCGGCCGGCGTCGGCCAGGGATAGCCGGCCGCCGACCGTCGCGTCGGTCTCGGCGCGCGGCACGGCGCCGGTCTCGGCGCGCGGCACGGCGCCGCCCCCGGCCCGGCCCGGCCCGTCCGTCCGGCCGGCCGCCCAACTGCACGATGAATGGCCCAAAGGTCAGCGCCGGATGCTGGAATTCGCGGGGACGGGACGCTGGCTGTCTGACCTGCTCCACGGGCCTGGTGGGACCTCATTAAAATGTTTCTGGTGATTTGGCTGTTTGGTGAAACCTACACTCGGTTCAAGCACTAGTTGAGTACAGATTTTGTGGAATACAACTCCCAGCTTGTGATGGACCCACACGGCATACACTCCCTTCCGATTTCCTCCCCCTATTTCACGCATGGCTCCTAGTAAGCTCGACCAAGTACCCAATCACAAGAGCTAGCAGGAGTAGCTGGACATATTCGTAAGGGGAGAAAGCGAAGAACGGAACCGGGCCTCCACGCGTGTCAACCAAACATAAATTTATTACATTGTTATACACTTTTATATTTAACCCTCGCCGGACCTATTGTTTTTTTACATACGCGCCGGCCGAGGGAGGGGGGGGGTACGACCCCCGTCGCCGTTTTGCCCCTGGTGGAGCTAGCGCGTCGCAAAAAAACGAGCGTTTGCGCCGTTACGAGACGCAGAGATTGATACCCGATTTTAAGGTCCTAGGTCAACCGGTTACCTCTGAGGTCAGGTCAAGTGCCCCAAGGTACGGTTCCGTTTTTGGCGAATAACTTCGCAAAAAACGGTCGCAGAGCCGCGATTTTGGCAGCATTGTGTTCGCCTCGCTCAGACGCGTCGAATGATATACTTTTTATTTGGGTGAGGTCAACTTCGGGTGTTGACCTCAGGTCACTGTCAGGTCAGCACCCTCAGGTCACGAAATCGGTCGAAGTAGGTCATGTTGCATATCATTCGATTCGACAGGTCTTCCTAAGTCCATTGGTGGCTTTCCCGACTCGCTAGCTTAATTTGATCGGGAGTTATTGACGAAAAACTAATATGGCCCTAATGACGTCATAAATGGCGTCACGCAAGGTCAACATTGCCAAAAGACGCATTTAACCTTGCAAGGAGTGCAACAAATCACGATTCTGTGTGCCCGAGATAGTTGGAGATCGTTCCCGGCGCCAGAATAGCAGTTGTCATTTTTCCCCATTGACTTGATGGTGAGGTCACGAAAATGACCTGACCTCATATGACCTTTAGGAAAAATCCGAGATATACAAGCTGTGAGACTAGTACCTAATGTATATTAGATCCTGCAAGTTTCATTTCCCTGTGAAAGCTCCTCTGGCAGTGAGGGCGTTGCGAAGTTGCGACATCTGAAGACCGTGCAGAGGTCCACTTATGACGTCATAGGTCAGTGACCTGACCTGACTGGAAAATGCGGTTGGTGTCAAAAGATCGGGCTTGAATCAAAGATTAGGTATGCCAAGTTTCAGCGCTCTATCTCCAGGGTGTTTGGAGCTATCGCGAACAAACCCTATGGGGGGGGGGGCGGCACCCGCCCCCCTCCCTCCCTCGGCCGGCGAGTAAGAGAGGTAAACATGAACATACCACTGCATGCATTTCTTAGTCCTCTTTTGACAAATAATAGGTAGCCTTGTCAACAGTTGGGATTTCGGATTTTACTGTTTTCATTTCAGCCAGCCGTTTACATAGTTTTTCGTGTTCACCAGTGCCTACATTTCCGTGGGAGAAGGCTTCTCGAGACAGTTAGGTCGATGAGGATATAGAAAATGCTCGCCGTAGCATGCTGGTGGCCTGTGCAGCAAATGTCTCAGCTGTTTGATGTAACTGGGTTGGGTAGTTCTGGCACAGTTGCAAGATTTGGGATCGTAATTATCACTGCAACCCAGGCTGTAGAAATAAATCAAATGATAATTCTTGAGGAGCGGCTACGTTTTAACCATCTGTGTGATGTGGTGCTCTGCAATTTCCTTTCCTCTCCTCTACCCTCATCGACTCATTCCCTCCTCCTCACCCGGAAATTTCCCTGCGGCCACGATGTGATTTCTCGACGATGCGGCTGATGCTATCTTTCAATGTGAAAAGATGGCTCACTTCTCTCAGCAAACTCGGCAAATGCTGTAAACAGGGTGAATGCGAAGCACTTTTCTAAGCAAACTGCAGAAATGTTACAAACAGTGCTTCACAGAGACGGCCACTCATGTCAAATTGATAGCCGCCCAACAGTCATACACAACGCTTTTACGCTGCTCCGCTGTAGCTCAGTGAACTGAATACAAAGTACGAATATGCTGAAAAAATGCGTGCAGAAATATTCAGAGGCAATAGTTGTGAAAGAAAAGGGAATGGGAGGTAAGGATGAGCATATTAGTTCATCCTCACGGGTCACGGTGATGTTTTTCTTCCCCCCCCCCTCCCCGACGAATACTTGCGATAGCTCCCGAACACCCAAAGATAGGTATGATCGTGAAACTCATCACCTTTTAACCCTCGCCGGCACAGGCCATTTTAAGTCCTTCGACGGCACAAGGGGGGGGGGGTACGATCCCCCCTCGTGTTTGGCCCCTGATGGAGCTAGAGCTTCGAGGAAAAAACGAGCGTGTTGCCCGTCACGAGAGGAAGCCAATGATACCCAATTATAAGGTCCTAAGTCATCGGTTGACCTTCCAGATCAGGTCAATGACCCAAAAATTGGTAATATCGGGACCTGTTAGAAAGTCGTAAAGTGTGGCTTCTAACCCTATTCCGGGCGGGGGAGCCTTTAATGCCACCCTTCAGGTTTTTCTTGTGCCATTGCCAAACGCCGCAAGACTGAAAGCCAATACTCGGTGACTTTTCCTAAACATACATTGCGCACATTTTGACAAAAAAAAGTTGCCGGGTCAGGTCAGGTCAGGTCACCAGAGGTGGTTTAGTGACCCCACCTCAGAAACGTTTGCAATCACGCCAGAGGTAGAGTTTTTGATGGATCAATTTCTTCTCTTCAGGTTTTAGTTAGGGTACCAGTATGTACAATTTGTATATCTCAGAATTTTTATATCTGTGACCTGAGGTCAGGCCAGACTCGTGACCTTTACATTGCAAGCCTATGGTAAAATATTGAAACGCTTCCTGTTTCGTGTAAACGAGTCAAACCTACTCAATTCTTTCAGTATGATGGAAGATTATCTCATCTGTGATGATCCTGGTGCCGCTAATTGACAGGGGCACCGGGAAAGGTCATCTGAGGTCATGTGACGTCATAAATCGTTTTTATGTCAATAAATCACGACACGATGGTGCTAAAGACTTGTACGTGGTACCAAACTGCTCGCCTGGTCAAGGTGCGTCGTTTGTTATACAGCATGACCATACCCCACAATCTCATTGATGAATGACCTGACCTTGACCTGGGGTCAAATTTCCAAATGACCTATGAAGGTCATCGCATACTTATTTCGCATCGCCTTGACGAGAGCAACAAAAATGTATTAATTTTATGTCTCTATTTTTCTTAGTTTAAAAGAAATATAGGTAACTAATTCCAAAACATTTTATCGTTGATGACCTCTGGTGACCTCAATATTGACCTGACCTGAAAATGTTTTTTTGTAAAAGTTGTAGATCTTTAAACGACATATCATACGCCGTTTGCCGATTGTCGCTACGATATGTACTTTTGGAGATCTGAGGGGGTCCGAAAAGGCCCCCCCCCCCGCCCAGAGTCGAACCTTTCAGAGCCCACCCGGAATAGGGCTAAGGGGTTTTCCGGGGTGCTGATCACGAATATCGTGTTAGTTTTGATCACAGATGATGTCGTTAAGCGTTTAGACCAGGTCGGGTCAGGTCAGGTCAGGTCAGGTCAACCGGTAGGGGTCGTGACGGGTATTTGTAGTACCTGTCATCCGCCTCTGACAGCTTCCTAACATGTTACGAAGGCACCATAAAGTACTTCGTAAATGTTCAAATGGTTGCTAAATTCGAATTCAGCTCCAAAAACTAGCCTAGAAACATGTAAAACTCGAAAAAGTGAACCGAGGTCACCAAAGGTGAATGACCTGACCTGACCTTCAGGTGACCTTGACACCCACCCTAATGCATGGGAGCAACATCAAATCACATGTTTGAACGTTTGAAACCACGAAAAGCTTGCAAACGCGCGGCTAATGCGAGCCGACATACGCCGAATCGCGATTCCGGCCAACCATGGTCTCGGAAAAGAGGTCACAGGTCAAAGGTCATTTGGGTCAGGGTCATGAAATTTTCAGGGTAGGTGTAAAATTAATCAATGCGAGGGTACTGAAAGCTTCGTCGCGATCAGCCGCTTTTTACGTGAGTTATTCGCGAAAAACCTTAGGGGGGTTGCATCAACGCCCCCCCCCCCTGTGACGGCGAGGGAAAGCCATTTGCATAAATACTCTTGCATGAACTTGACGCCTGGGCAGCCTCAAATTGTTACATGAACCACAAATTGCGACCTAATAATTCTGAAAATACTTCACAACATTCTTGAATTTGGTAAATAAAATAAACAAAAGTGCAAAGTTTAAGGTCAGTTTTGAACGTGATCTTGTCATTGAGCACATTATCGGACTCCTCAGAACGTCTTCTTTGGTTTTCAATCAGTTTTACTCGATTTTGTGCATCCTGCCATTCTCTGGAACACATAGTTTGAGATTATTTCGTATGTCCCGGTTTTACCTTTGACCTTAACCTCTGACCTTGTAAATTAACCTGAGGTCAAAAACTGCAGATGTTGTAGAATTTTCTCTTTGAGACCTTTCTTTTGGTACCACTTTTATTTTCGTAAATTCTCTATTTGCGGAATGAGACGATGGCGAAAAACACCCCCGGCCCACGTACTGTGGTTGGGATTGCTTTCCCGGACGCAGCCGGGTTAATAAATGCGATGATACCCATCCCTTCACCCGTCATTGAACATAAGCATTAGTGGACGAGGAAGGACCGCCTACCGGGCAACGATACACTC